TTAGTATCGAAAATAATCGAATCGTTGGGCCAGGAAATTGATACTGAATCGAATCGCCATGATGGATGTGATTTACACCCCATGATAAGGTGTCCAACCGCCCTGCCTGCCTAGAAATGTCTCAGCATTTCAATAAACGAGGACGTAGAACAGAGCGAGCTCTGCACCACTGATAGGAAGCCGTCCTCTGATATTATGGGATGTAGGATGAAGTGATTCATTCAGTTCTGACTGAATCATCATTCCTTCGCACTACGAAGCCTTATTAGTGATAAAATCAGCTGTGTAAAGATTAAAACTAACTATTTAAACTCTGCATAAAGCTCATGTTTGAGAATTGAGTGTTGGTGTTTTTAGTTTGTATTTTCAGCAGAGGTGGTTAGAGCAGTTTTTAAAGGAAAGTTAATCACTCTGGATGGAAGAGCCAAACATTTTACTGGAAAGTAGAAAATATAAATGAACGGAAGAGGATAAGGGCCACTGGAAAAAAAAAAGTTAACTGATTTTTACATTTTATTTCAGTTGAACATGGGAAAAAATTCAGAATTCTGACTTTTTTTCTCAGAATTCTGACTTAATTCTGACTTTTTTCCCCATACTAAACTGAAATAAAGTTTAAAAATCAGTTAACTTTTTTTTTTCACTGGCCCTAATCCTCCTCCGTATAAAGGACTATATAACTGAAGTATAAGTAAAAATAGTTCAGTTAAAGTCTGTAACTAGTTACTGCCCGCCTCTGATTTTCAGAACCAGATCTGAGTTTTGTGGAAATAGGTTTGTTTTTCCTCCTGAACATTAAAGTTAAACAAACTCTCTATAAAGCCTTGAACTCAACGTTATTTCTGACATTTTGAATTGAAAAAGCTTCCTGGATGGAGGAGAAACGTCTTCAAAGATGGAAGGACTGATGGACTGAGAGATAAATGTGCATTTAAATTTAAATAGAAATCATGTTTCTTTCAAATAATTCTTATAAATGAATACTTTCATATAACAGAGTGAATTAAATCAGAAACGTTTATCTGTTGGTTTTCATGGCAGTTTTTCGGAGGTTTTAGTATCGTCTGGACCGCATCAGGAGATCTATGGTGCCGTGAGCTCCGGTCCGACTTACCGGGCCTGGATCTGCTGCTCCAGGTTGTGCTGCATCCTCATTCCCAGCTGGTCCAGTTGGTCCCACTGCTGGGCCAGGCCCACGGTGCTGTGCTCCGTGTACTTGTTGTCCAGGATGAGAGCTTCCTCCATGGCCGCTCCCAGATCCTCGATCTTCTTCAGCTGGCTGCGCATGGCCCGGATCTCCTGGTGCTTACGCTGCGGAGACACGATCAGGTAAAAAAGTTCAGGTCGGCCTTCATTTTTCCATCTGAGCTCTAAGAAGAATCTGAATGGATGATACCGGGCTCTTCTAGCAGAACTGGTTCCTTAACAGATCCCGCTAAAAACAACAGTTCCACAACCAGTTTGGACTCGTGTCTGGGATCATTTTCTAGATAAAACTTTTAACTGCTGTTCTGAAAGACCACAGCATGATACTGCCACTGCCATGCTGGACAGCTGGACCAGCGTTCTACACTTCAACCCGCCAGGCGTTCCAACAGAACATTGATCCCAAAAACCCATCAGAACTGGACCAGAAAGCGGGCTAACGAACACTTCATCTGGACTCTTTATGGTAACATATAGATATCTATCTATCTAGATATCTATCTATCTAG